TTTTCTAGCACACTTGGTTTTAGCCTCTGTACACCTTTGGGTGAGCCATGGGTTCATCCTGGCCTTCTCATTATTTCTGTTGCGCTTTGAATAAACAGCTCATTGTGGTTGCCGGGGTCAAGTCAAAGCTCCTGGCCCCTCCTCTTCACTGATCGCTACTAGGTCCTCTCTCTTCCTGCTCCATGAGATTTATCAAACCTCGCCTTAAAACTATGTATAGTTCCTGACTCCACTACGTCACTTTCTAGGCTATTCCACTTCCTGACAATTCTATGACTGAAGAAATACTTCCTAACATCCCCTTGACTCATAGGAGTCTTCAACTTCCAATTGTGACCCCTTAATTTCTGTGTCCCATCTCTGGAACATCCTGTTTTTGTCCACCTTGTCAATTCCTCGCAGTATTTTATATGTCGGTATCAGGTCTTCCCCATCCCTCCTGTCCTACAGTATCGTCAATTCAATTCAATTCAAAGTTTATTTTCTATAAGGATTACAATGCTGAGTTTACAGAATTTTGTTATTGTGTGGTTTACATGTAGTAAAATAATGATTAGAGTGTACCACTAGAACACCTAGCATGGCTAGGCATTTCGGGCAGACTTAGTTTAATTCTTAATTTTAAAATATTACAAATTATGAGGTAAGTTGGTATTATGACTAAGTGACTAAATACTAGTTTGTGAGTTTAGCAATGTGAATGCTTTTGTTTTGGCATAGTACATAGTTTCAGTATTCGAGTATCACAGGATTCATTATTTTAAGATTGAGATTAATATTTCTGTTTATGGTCAAATGGGTGAGTGAAAGTGTAAGTGTGAACCACCAGGTGGTATTCGTGTAGTTAGTTAACGGGGTGTATCAGGGAGATAAGATGTTTTCTAATGGTAGTTTTGAAGGTGATGAATGTGTCTGCAGTTCTAAAAGTTCTCAGGTAGGGTGTTCCAGATTTTAGGCCTTTGACATACATTGAATTTTTTTTAAAGGTTTAGTTGGACACGGGGAATGTCGTAGAGATGTTTGTGTCTGGTGTTATGCCTGTGGGTTCTGTCACAACTATCAAGAAAGCGTTTTAGATCAAGGTTGATATTGGAGTTTAAGGTCCTGTATGTAGATTTGCACAGTAGTAAGGTGGATGTACTAACAGGGAGTAAGTTTAGATCTATGAAAAGTGTGGGGGGGGGGGGAGGGTTGCCAGGGATGGGATTAGTGATCATTCTTACTGCAGCTTTTTGTTGGGTTATTATTGGCTTTAGGTGTGTTGCTGCAGTTGATCCCCAAGCACAATAGCAAGGTGAGTATGGAAAAAATGAGTGGTATAGTGTGAGAAGGGCATTTTGCGGCACGTAGTATCGTATCTTGGAGAGGATCCCAACCGTTTTGGATACTTTTTTTGGTTATGTGTTGGATATGGGTGCTGAAATTCAGGTTGTTGTCAAGGTATAAGCTAGGAATTTGCCCCCATTATGTCTGGTAATTAGAGTGTTGTCTATCTTTAAAGTTAATTTGTGGGATCTCCTGCTCTGCTACCAAACATTAATATAGTAGGTTTTGTCAGTGTTAAGCGTAAAGTTATTGGCTGTCATCCAAGTCGAAAATTTTGATCAGCTCCTCTTAACAATGGTGTTGAGGGTGGCAAAATTAGGGTGAGAGATGACATAAATCGTGTCGTCAGCAAAGAGAATGGGTTTTTAGGTGTTGGGATACGTTGGAAGATCATTTTATGTATATGAGGAAGAGCAGGGGAAACCCAAAGGGCACTTCCCTGCGGAACTCCAGTTAAACAAGTGGCCGTGTTGTTGATTTCTGTGTCTTTAATGGTGACATACTGATACCTATTAGTAAGGTAAGATTTGAAATAAGCAAGCGCATGGCCTCTTATAAACCCTAATGGTCAAGTTTTTTGGGGTAGGATGTCGTGGTCTACTGTGTCAAAAGCTTTTCTTAGGTCAATAAAAATTCCTAGTGGATATTCCTTATTTTCCAATGCTGTGTAAAGCAGATCTAGCATTTTTATGATTGCATCATTAGTGCTTTTATTTTTCCTGAATCCAAATTGGCAGGGGTTGAGTATGTTTTGTGCCGTTATAAATGAATATAGTCTCCTGTGCACGAGTTTCTCAAAGATTTTGGATAGCAATGGTAAGTTTGATATTGGCCTATAGTCTGTAGGGTCACCACCTTTATGTACTGGTGTAACCCTTGCCATCTTGAGTAGTTTCGGGAAGGTACTAGTTTCTAGTAACTTATTAAAAAGTAATGAAAAATTTCATGCGAAAGGACTGGCCGCTCGCTTGTACAGTAATGGTGGGACATGAGACAGATTCCCTGAGTTATTTTTAAGTGACTTTATAATCTCTGTGACTTCCGTGGGCTCAGTTGGTGCAAGATAGAAGGAATTTGGGAAATTCCCATCTAGGTAGTCCCCGGCATGGGCATTGGTATGTGGGATTTTATTGGCGAGATTAGATCCTATGGTTTGAGAAGTCGTTTATCTTATTAGCTGTGTCAGTGGGATGTAGTGGTGTTTCATTAGGTTTAGTTAAGACAATATTCTTGTTTTTTTTCAGTTTGTGGGTCCCTAGAATCTGAGAGAGTGTTTTCTAGGTCTTTTTTATATCTCCTCTAGTGTCTGTGAATCTACTGGAGTAGTATAGTTGTTTGGCTTTCTTTATTACTTTGGTGAGAACTGATGAATAGTTTATATTGGTGTTTCTTGTCAATGGATTTCAGAATGGTGCTGGTTAGCCATGGGCAACCAAGCCGTTTGTTCGTAGGACAATCCCCATAGCTCTGAAACTACTCTTGTTGCAAACCTCTTCACTTTCTCTAATTTCTTGACGTGCTTGACCAGGTGTGGGTTCCAAACTGGTGCTGCATACTCCAGTATGGGCCTGAAGTATATGGTATACAGAGGGGAAAATAAACACAGAACCAGTATAATAAGCAGTATAATAAAGGATCATATTATACTGTTTCTGCGTTTAGTTTACCATTGTGTCGGTATTTTATATCCATTTATTTCCACGGTGTACAGAGTCTTGAACGATTCCTTACTGAAGTATCAGAATGCTATCCTTAGGTTTGCCAGATGCCCGTACGCTACAGCAGTTATCTGATTGATGTGCGCCTCAGATGTGCTCGGTGTTATACTAAGATTTTTTTCTTTGAGTGAGGTTTGCAGTCTTTGGCCACCTGGACTATACTGTGTCTGTGGTCTTCTTTGCCCTTCCCTGATCTTCATGACTTCGAATTTGGAGCGGTTAAATTCAAGGAGCCAGTTGCTGGACCAGGCTTGTAGCCTGTCCGGGTCTCTCTGTACTCCTGCCTGATCTTCGATCGATTTAACTCTCCTCATTAACTTCACATCTACAAACAGGGACACTTCTGAGTCTATCCCTTCCGTTATGTCAGCACAGGTCCTAAGACTGACCCATGTGGAACCCGGCTCGTCACAGGAGCCCACTCTGACACATCGTCACGTACCATGATTCGTTGTTGCCTCCCTGTCAGATATCTGATCCATTGCAGTGCCTTTCCTGTTATGTCTGCCTGATCCTCTAGCTTTAGCATTAACCTCTTGTGAGGAACTGTGTCGAAGGCCTTCTTGCAGTCCAAGAAAATGCAGTCTATCCACCCCTCTCTCTCGTCTTACTTCTGTTACCTTGTCATAAGACTCCAGTAGGTTTGACAAAGGATTTGCCTTCCCTGGAACCGTGCTGGTTGTCGTTTATAAGCTTTTGTCTTTCAAGGTGCTCCACCACTCTCCACAATATGTATGTATGTATGTATGTATTTGTGTGTGTTCGTACATGTGCGTGTTAACGAGCATGAAGTTCATGAGTGGAGTCAGTAATGAGACTTGAGACAACGATCATTACTGCATCGACCTCCGTCCCAACACCACCTGTCCTCTTCTAGACAGTCTTACACTTGTCACCAGAGAACAACACATTGTTCTGCACTTGAAGTCTTACACTTGTCAGCAGAACACAAACCAAAGCAACAATACATTTGTATATATACAAGAATCGCGAACCAGCAACACAGGATGCAAAACGACTATCATTCAACTTTCACCAACCAGCTATCATTCATCTCCCCCCGTGGTTGTTTTTTCATGCATATTATATATATATATATATATATATATATTTTATAATATATATATATAATATATATAATATATATATATATATATATATATTTAAATATATAATAATCCAATTTGATTTGGCTCTCTGTTACCAGTTCTCAAACAAACAGAATGGGTGGATGATATAAAAAATTTAATAAAGTGTTATGGAGTGGGATTTAAACAGGCGTTGATACGTTAATAAATCTCTGCCAAACGATTACTTCTTGTAGCGTTATTGTTTCTACATCATGTCTTAATAAAATACACTAATGTTTCATTTATGATATTAAAACTTTTACTCTTTGGTAGATATTACTACTTTGCTCATATGTATACGACAGTACAAGATGAACTGAAATCGAAGCCTACAAAGACCCGACATACTTGAGGGAAGAATATGTAGAAACACCAGTGTAAACGTATATTGTCCAGCAGCACCTTCATGCAGCGGTACAGCTAAGTCGCAACCACCAAATATGTTCGATCTTTTGAAAAATTACGGCAAAGTTGAAAGACTAGACCACTCAAGATGGGGTTCACGACTGTCTGTAATAGCAACATGGAGGTCGTGGAGAGGATAAGCTAGCGGCGACATGTCTGTCACATCACATACACTCGGTTAATCTCACAATAAGATCAAATCAACCAGCAGAAACGAGATGCAACATTTCCGGAAGATACAGCGTATACATTCCATCACCTAAATGATGAACTCCATAAACATTTACTCATTTGATCTACAGCCGAAGTGTGATCTCTGTTCCTAAGAAACGCACTTGATTTACAGTTGATGCATCTTTACTGATCACAAGAGACGCACTTGATCTACAACTGACGTTATGTCACTGCCCCTCTGCGGCTCACTTGGTCTACAATAGAGGTGGCCATCGTTCACATGCTACCCTTGATCGACTGCTTGTAGGTGGTCACTGATTCCCAGAGGGCCACTTGACGTGCAACCAGTTCCCAAGAGACGCACTTAATCTACAGTTAACGTGTGGTCGCTGTTTCTAAGGTGTACTTGATCTTACGTTGATGATCTGCAAAGTATGTTGGAAGAGGTTAAGTAATAATACAGCTCCCGGAGTATTCCTCTGGGGCTTCAGGAAGACTAAGTCAGGGTTGACATGCTTCAGGATATATACATCAGCCAAGACTGTGTCCATTCAGCAGTGAGCGAGAAATGAGATAGATATAATGGCGCTACAGGAGAGGATGCTACTGCGTCTGGCTCCCAGACTCCGCTCTAGACGACGAGGAGACTCTGAAGACGCACTCTGTGTTCTGGTAAGTAAATCTGTCCCCTATGCAATTATTCGCTGGGATTAACGGCCTACTGCATCCTTGTTGCTCGTATGAGGTCTGTTGCACTGATGTTGCTTACCGAAGGCCTGGTGCTCATCTCCAGCCTGTTGGATCTGTGCTGCTCATTTCCCAGCTTCTTGCATACTGATTGCTCATCTCAGGCATGATGCATTCTTGTTCTTCATCTCAAGCATGTTCAATCTCTGTTCCACATTTCTCGTCCGTTGCGTCCTTTAATCCAACAAAAGTATATTGCATTTCAGTTGTTTACTTCGGCCAGTTGCATCCCCGTTGCTCACTCAAGGTTCATCCTATTCCTCTAACTTACTCCCTGCCTCTTGCTTACCCGGTCTTCATCTCAATGCTTTTTCAGTTGGATGACTAAATAATGCATTAGCAAGTTCATTATCACACGATTTATGATGTGATATACACACCTTCCCTCACTACCATTACCACCTCAGCACCATGCTTCCCTCACTACCATTACCACCTCACCTGCTTCACCACTACCATTACCCACTTCCAACTTCTTCCCCCACTACCCTTACCACATCACCACCTGCTTCCCTCACTTTCCATTACCACACCACCCATGCTTCCCTCACTTACCATTACCACCAAAATCCACCATGCTTCCCACTACCATTACCACCTCACCATGCTTCCCTCACTACCATTACCACATCACCATGCTTCCCTCACTACCATTACCACATCACCATGCTTCCCTCACTACCATTACCACCTCACCACCATGCTTCCCTCACCACCTATGCTTCCTCACTACCCTTACCACCTCCCACCATGCTTCACTCACTAAACCCTTACCCACCTCACCACCTTCCCTCAATACCATTACCACATCACCACCATGCTTCCCTCACTACCATTACCACATCACCATGCTTCACTCACAAACCCTTTCCACCTCACCACCAACTTCCCTACTACCATTACCACATCCCACCAGCTTCACTCACTACCATTACCACCTCCCAACCCTGGCTTCCCCCACTAAACCATACCACTCACCACATGCTTCACTCCTACCATTACCACTCACCACCCTTCCTTACTACCATTCCCTCACCCCATTGTTCCTCACTACATTTCCAAACCCCACCCCCATGCTTCCCCACTCCATTACCACATCAACCATGCTTCACTCACTAAACCCTTACCCTCACACCATGCTTCTCCCCCCTACCATTAAACACATCACCACCATGGTTCCTCACTACCATTACCACATCACCACCATGCTTCCCTCCCCTACCATTACCACTCACCATACCCTTCACTCACTTTCCATCTCACCTCACCATGCTTCCTCACTAAACCCTTACATCACCCCCCATGCTCCCTCACTACCATTAACTCACCATGCTACTCCCTACCTTACCCACTCACCCTGCTTCACTCACCCACCATTACCACATCACCACCATGCTTCACTCCTACCATTCCAACATCACCCACCATGTGTCCCCCACTACCATTTACCACTCACCATGCTTCCCTCACTACCATTACCACCTCACCCATGCTTCCTCACTTCCACTCACTACCCAATTACCATCCCCCATCACCATGCTTCCCCACACTACCATTACCACATCACCACCATGGCTTCCCCACTACATTACCACCTCACCACCATGCTTCCTCACTACCTTCCACCTCCCACCCATGCTTCCCCTCACCACCATGCTTCACCTCACTACCATTACCACCTCACCACCAAGACTTTCCCTTTTACCATACCACATCACACCCTGCTCCCTCACTACATAACACCTCAACATGCTTCCTCCTTTCCTTACCACTTCACCATGCTTCCCTCACTACCATTACCACATCCCCCCATGCTTCACTAATCACTACCTTACCACACACCTGCTTCCACTCCACTACCATTACCCACACACATGCTTCACTCACTACCATTACCACCTCACCATGCTTCCCACTACCCAAAACCACCCTCACCACCATGCTTCCCCCACTACCATTCCACTCCCACCTGTTTCCCTCACTACCATTACCCCCTACCCCATGCTTCCCCACTACCTTACCACCCCACCACCATGCTTACTTCTACCATTACCACCCACCATGCTTCACTCACTACCATTTCACCTCACCACCAACTTTCCCCCACTACCATTCCACCTCACCATGCTTCACTCACCTAACCATTACCACCTCACCACCATGGCTTCCAACTACCATTACCCTCACCACCTGCTTCCCCTACTACCATTACCACTTCACCACCAGCTTCCTCACTACCATTACCACCTCACACCCCTGCTTCCCTCCTACCATTACCACCTCACCCCATGTTTCTCACTACCATTTCCCCTCACCATGCTTCCACCACCATTCCCCTCACCACCCGCTTCCCCCCCCCTAAATTACCACTCACCCCCCATGCTTCCCTCACTACCTAATCACACCATGCTCTCCGCCCCATTTCCTACCACCAGGTTTCTCTCATACCATTTTCCCCCTCACCCCCCAAACCCCCTGTTCCCCCACTACCATTTAATCACACCTGCTTCTCTCATACCTTCCCCCACCCCTTTCTTTCCCCCACTACCATCACCACCTCACCCCATCTTCCCTCACTAACCTTACCCCCTCACCACCATGCTTCCTTACTACCATCACCTCACCCCATGCTCCCTCACTACCTCACCACCTCACCCCCGCTTCCTCCTAACATCACCACCCCACCCCATGGTCCCCCCCACCACCATCTCCCTTCTCCTACCCCACCTCACCCCATGTTTCCCCACACAATTTACCCTCACCACCGCTTCCTCACTACCTCACCTCCCTCCATGTTCCCTCCCCTACCATCACCCCACCCCACCACCTGCTTCCCTCACCCATCACCCACCCCCGCTTCCCTCACTCCATCCCCCTCCCACCTGCTTCCCCTAACACCCTCCCCCTCAACCCCCTGCTTCCTCACTCCTCCCTCACCTCCTTTTCCTTCTCACCCCACCACTCACCTCCGCTTCCCTCCTACCCACCCCCTCCCTCCATGCTTCCCCACTCCACAAACCCCCCCACCACCTGTTCCCCCACACCCTCCCTCCCTCCCCCCTACTCCTCACCACCCTGCTTCCCTCACTCCTCACCACCTGCCCTTTCCCCCCTCCTCCTCCCACCTTTCCCCCACTACCACCTCACCACCTGCTTCCCCCCCTCCTCACCCCCATCTTTCCCCCTTCCCTCACCCCGCCCCTCACAACCCCTTCCCCCCCCTTCCCCTGCCTCCCTCACCCCTCCCCCCCCTCACCACCCTGCCTCCTCACCCCCCCTCTTCCTCACCCCCCTGCCTTCCTTTATCACCCTGCCCTTTCCCCACCCCTGCCTTCCCCATTCCCCTGCCTTCTTTCCCCCCCTGCCTTCCTCCACCCTGCCTCCTCACCACCCTGCCCCTTCCCCCCCCACCCTCCTCCCCCACCCCCCTGCCCCCCTCACCACCCTGCTCCCCCAAAAACCTTGCCTCCCCCCACCCTATATTCAAAATTTAATCCTTTATATGGCCCTGAAGTCTATTGATAATTTTGGGGACTACCTTTGTTTTATAAATAAAGGGTGACTGGCATTAGCACTCTGGGGGCTTTGTATTTTTCCCCACTCTGTACGCTCAGTCTTGGTCTATTAACGAATCTGCTGAGATTTCTTACTCATTTCTGGGAACTTTGCAAGCTCCTGATGTGGTTGATTGAAACACGAAAGACCTAGAGTAATATTTTATATATATATATATATATATATATAAAATATATATATATATATATATATATAGATATATATATATATTATTATATATATATATATATGCAATAAGATTCACAGTAAACAGGTGATTTCAAAAATATGCAAAACAACCACTCTGAAAGAATAGAGAAATTCCAAGCGCTTTCGTGACTACTCACATTATCAAGGAACTATTGATAGTTCCTTGATAATGGGGAGTAGTCACGAATGCGCTTGGAATTTCTCTATTCTTTCAGGGGTGGTTTTTTTGGGCATATAAAATATATATAATATATATATATATATATATATATATATATATATATATATAATATAATATATATATATATAGGTAGTAGGTTGGTAGACAGCAACCACCCAGGGAAGTACTACCGTCCTGCCAGATGACTGTGAAACAAAAACCTGTAACTGTTTTGCATGATGGTAGGATTGCTGGTTTCTTTTTCTGTCTCATAAAACACGCTAAGATAACAGGGATATCTTGCTACTCCTACTTACACTTTGGTCACACTTCACAGACACGCACATGCATTATATATATATACATACATCTAGGTTTTTCTCTTTTTTCTAAATAGCTCTTGTTCTTTTTTATTTCTTCTATTGTCCATGGGGAAGTGGAAAAGAATCTTTCCTCCGTAAGCCATGCGTGTCGTATGAGGCGACTAAAATGCCGGGAGCAATGGGCTAGTAACCCTTCTCCTGTATACAATTACTAAAAAAGAGAAGAAGAAAAACTTTATAAAACTGGGTTGCTTAAATGTGCGTGGATGTAGTGCGGATGACAAGAAACAGATGATTGCTGATGTTATGAATGAAAAGAAGTTGGATGTCCTGGCCCTAAGCGAAACAAAGCTGAAGGGGGTAGGAGAGTTTCAGTGGGGGGAAATAAATGGGATTAAATCTGGAGTATCTGAGAGAGTTAGAGCAAAGGAAGGGGTAGCAGTAATGTTAAATGATCAGTTATGGAAGGAGGAAAAGAGAATATGAATGTGTAAATTCAAGAATTATGTGGATTAAAGTAAAGGTTGGATGCGAGAAGTGGGTCATAATAAGCGTGTATGCACTGGAGAAGAGAGGAATGCAGAGGAGAGAGAGAGATTTTGGGAGATGTTAAGTGAATGTATAGGAGCCTTTGAACCAAGTGAGAGAGTAATTGTGGTAGGGGACTTGAATGCTAA